CAAAGAACTTGAACTACAGCTTCAAGTAATTTCAGACTCAAATTCTAGAATTAGCTTATTCCTTGAATTATTAAAGCTCACTATTGTTTGCCAAGCACTGTTTCTAATAAAAGCAGTATGTTCCAAATGTTCTAAAAAATGTTAATGCATACATAAACAAGACAAAGTTACAGACACCAAGATTTTCAATAAATAAATGAAAAGCCTGACTTTACTGTCTTCAAGTAAAATACCTGCCTTCGGAAGTAAAAATAGGGCGAGATCCTGACATGAGTGGAGAATACTGTATGCATTAGGTACGAGGTAAGAATCTGTTCTTAAAGACACATTTGCAACAGGTGATTCAAGACTATCTTTTTTTAATTGCTGCCTTTCTTAATGAATCTTCAGATTTGTAATGCTTTGTAGAGATATGCATATGTGCACACAGTCCAACAGGGCACACAAACCCATGGCTGTGCTGGAGATCATAGAATCACTGAGGTTGGAAAAGACCTCTAAGATCATCAAGTCCAACCGTCAACTCATCACCACCTTGCTTACCAAACCGTGTCTCAATATGCCATATCTACATGTTTTTTGAACATCTCCAGGGATGGTGACTCAACCACTCCCCTGGGCAGCCTGTTCCAATGCCTGACTGCTCTTTCAGTAAAGAAATTTTTCCTAATATCCAATCTAAACTTCCCCTGATGCAACTTGAGGCCATTTCCTCTCGTCCTGTCGCTAGTTACTTGGAAGAGATGAACTCCTGCCTCACTACAACCTCCTTTCAGGGAGTTGTAGAGAGCGAAAAGGTTTCCCCTCAGCCTCTTCTTCTCCAGACTAAACAACCCCAGTTCCCTCAGCTGCTCCTCATAAGACTTGTTCTCCAGACCATTCACCAGCCTCGCTGTCCTTCTCTGGACACGCTCCAGCAACTCAATGTCTTTCTTGTAGCGAGGGGCCCAAAACTGAACACAGTATTCGAGGGGCAGCCTCACCAGTGCTGAGTACAGGGGCATGATCACCTCTCTACTCCTGCTGGCCACACTGCTGGCTCATGTTCAGCCAGCTACTGACCAGCACCCCCAGGTCCTTTTCCACTGGGCAGCTTTCCAGCCACTCTTCCCCAAGCCTGTAGTATTTCACAGGGTTGTTGTGACCCAAGTGCAGGACCTGGCACTTGGCCTTGTTGAACCTCATACAGTTGGCCTCAGACCATCAACCTAGCCTGCCCAGATCCCTCTGCAGAGCCTTCCTACCCTCAAGCAGATCGACACTCCCGCTCAACTCGGTGTCGTCTGCAAACTTACTGAGGGAGCACTCCATCCCCACATCCAGATCATTGATAAAGATGTTAAACAAGACGGGACCCAAAACCAAGCCCTGGAGTACACTACTCATGACCGGCTGCTAGCTGGATTTTACTCTGTTTACCACAACCCTCTAGACTTGACCATCCAGCCAGTTTTTTACTCAGTGAAGAGTACACCTGTCTAAGCCATGAGCAGCTAGTTTCTCCAGGAGGATGCTGTGGGAGACAGTATCAAAGGCTTTACTAAAGTCCAGGTAGACAACATCCACAACCTCTCCCTCATCCACTAGGTGCCACAACCTTTCCCTCATTCACTAGGTGGGTCACCTGATCATAGAAGGAGGTATTATATCTCAACCAGACTCACATGAGCCATGCAACTTTAACACAACTTTTAAAGAGTCAAATCGATAAAAGAAATAAGGAAACCACTTGATGCAGTGTTGACTGTTTTAAATATGTGTGGGCTGGTAGTTTCTACAAAGGAAGGAACCTTACACCTGTCTGTGCAATCTATGCATGGTGTCAGAATAACAAGAGGAGGAAAAAAATGCACAGATTGCACGCCTTTGCAAAAAAGAGTCATTCTCTTCGAGGTGTGGGTCATACTGCAATACTATAAAACATATGTTAATACTACTTTTCAGTTACAGAGTAGCATCCCCATTTCCCTTCTCCTTCATGGGAAGGACAGAGCCTCTTCCTATGTTATACTCCATGCTGTGAAGAAAAGCAAAAAGATTTTTAAGGTCTTTTATCACCTAAAGTGGGAACATTCCTTTTAGATCTAAAATTTGGTGACAAGCATCATCTTGAGCATACGCATAAGGACCCAGTCAGTCACCCATTACTTCTCCCAGACAGTCAGTAAACTGAGAGAATTCTGTTACCTCTGAAACCCATTCATCCCTATAGTATCTTAACTCCAGCTGCAGCCAGCAGCCGTTCCTGACAAGACAATAGCTTTCTCACTGTTGTCCTAGAGAATCTACATCCAGAAGTCAAGTCTGGCGTAGTGGGAAAATATCTTTCTTAAGTGCCCTGCTAAAGCATGAAGCTTGAGCTTGTAAGAGCTGTCAGGGTTGCAGGACTGTCTATTCACTGAATCATTCTAGAAATTAGACTGTAGAGGTACCGTTAAATTTATAATAAAACAAGCTGAAAAGTAGCCTTTGGTGGAGAGACTGGAAGTGTGAGAGGAATACTGAAAAGTGAAAAACAAGCAAGCTTGCAAGCAATTAACAACAGGGAGATTGTATTTTTTAAATAAGCAGAAAATAAAATCCCTGTACACTGCAATAAAATGTGCACCTGGTGAACATGGCAGTGGTACCACCGTGTGTTAGGCCATTGACCTGTTGCTGAAACAGCTTCATCAATGTATGAGGTTATTGTGATCATCCCAGACGTTAGCAGCTCAAACTGTCATTCTTGGTGGAGAGAAAGCACCCCACCTTCCCACCAAAGCCGGTAATGAGCAACACAACACTACTCTGCCTCCTCTTCTACAAGCGCAGCTGACACCTTCCAGCTCCTCCTTCTGCAGTCTCCAGAAAATACACAATACAACACTCTGGAGTACAGCGTCAGCTCGTCTTACAGGCTTATCTACTTTACGCCCTTTGTATCACTGTTATGTAGCAACGAGTCAGGAACCTAAAATAACAGAAAACTTCATCTGCTAAACATTTTGCATCTGCCACTAAGCTACAGCAAAGAGAAGGACACAACCAGCATCTTGTCTCTCAGACCTGTGGTTACTGCAAGATCCTCTTTTCTGTTTTGGGAATAAAGTACGTTGTGGCCATCCAATCTGCTCTTAACTGTGATACTGTAGAATCTTATATAAGAATCAGGCAAAACATTTTCACTGTTCTTCTTGTAACTGCATTCCTGAGATAGAATTCTGTGCTCTAAGCTTCCGATAGTATTTTATAAAAATCCTGCTGTTACAACATCATGTTGTATCATCACGTAGAGGCCCTAAAATTAAATTATTCATTTAATGAGGTTAGTTGCTAAACTACACATAATGGCTTGCAGGAAGAAATACAAAGTGTTATGAATAAAGGTAAATTACTTTGTATTTTCCTCTGCATCAGCAGCAGGTACCTGTAATTGTTCTTCAAGCCATTACTTTGTGTTAACTCAAAGCCCTCTCAACTAGGTTGTTATTTAAAGTGAGCAGGTACTGGCTGTCAATGCACCCAAGACTATGTTCAAGTGGAGGTGAAATGATCCTCTGAAACTTTGAGAGCAAAGCGCCAACATCATTGATTTAATTAGTGCTAACTGCAGCTCATACAGTAACGTAAGTCACAATTACAGCTGTATTGCTACTAACAGTGCTTAGAAAATCTTCTCTCCACTGAGGCAACACCAACTATGCAAAAGTGAAGAAAATTGTAGCAGCACAGCTGACGGCAGATATTAGCCTATGCACCAGCTGAGCTCCTCAGCCTTTCCAAGAGCAGCAGAAACAAGATGCTGGTCTCTGACACAGGCTCGCTCTGCTCTCCTGTGCAAGCCTGAGCTACGCTGCCATGATGCAAATGCCCAGTGAATCTCATATGCAGCATAATACAAACTCTGCATTTTCAACATGATCCCTGGACAGCCGCTACCAGCAGGCTGTGCTTTCATGCTTACACTATCAATTCGTTACCCTGGCAGTACCGATATTTTTATCAAATATGTATAGCACCTGTTCTACCAGCCAGAAACTAAGCATTAGATATTTTTGATACAATTCTAACTACTTTATGTTTGAATCTCTTCTAAGTTCTAAAACTCTCCCATGCTCTTCAGAGGCCAATGAAGCTCTTTAGCAGATTCAAGTCTTTATTTTAGGGCACAACTTTGCTAGTACACACTGTTAACAGTGATTTACGTATTACACTACTCCCAGCATAAAGCAAACCCCATATTACAATGATTCACCACGAATTTTTTTTTCTTTTCCATTGTCCACATTTTATCTTTACAATTATCTCTGGCTTGTGTTTCACCTGTACATACAACACTTTAAGACTGCAAACCAGACTTTCATGTGAACAAGAGATACCCATACCTAATACTCTTTTTTTAAAAACCTTTTGTTTTAAAACACAATGTTATGTAAGCATGAGTAACATCACAGCATAGTATTTAGGGGGGCAAAAATGGAAACAAAAACAATTATTTGAGAAGTTACAGAACTAATTTTATTAAAAAAAAATTATTTTAGTTTTAAAGAATAAAAGAAGATTAAAATAAGTGTACGGACAGAACAAAAAAGAAACATGAAAAAACACTGGCATCTGAACAGAATAAGAATAAAACGGTGACATCAAAAAGAAAAGCAAACCCAAAACACAATTGCATGCTAAAAGTACATAAACTAAGTAGGAGTTACAAAGCACTGACCTACACATTTTTAATCTACTACTATTATTACTGGAACTAGTATCTTAGTTAATAAGCAGTAACTTTCTAGTCTTCATTCCAAAACATCATGGCAAATGGTGTTTTGGGAAATGAAAAGTCAAAGGTAAGTCTGAACCATGTCAGAAATAACATAGAAGAGAAAACTCATTTCTTTAAAACAAGGAAAAACAGTGTTCTCTCTTAAGGTTCATTAGGAGTTTCCGTGTAATGGCCGAAGAAATACGTTCACTTAACTCACATTATTGCTTCTCCACATGTTTCAAGCTTAAAATCATACCTTTCACATCCTCATCTTCAATGGTTGTATTGGAACTCTCTGTTGATTCCTGTTGAGAATATAAGCAGAATGTATAAAACAAGCCAAGTCTTCTTTGCGTGCCTTTGAAAATTAGTTACAGATACCATGCAAAGCCTTGAAGCAAGGTGGGATGTAATTCACAAACAAATGGTCACACACTGGTTCAGACATTTCCACCTGATAATGATGTCAAACATTGCCATTCTCTACAGTAGGGAACATAACTACATTTCCTGCTCTCTAATGCTTTTACTTCACAGGAATGTAAAGGAAACTTTTTTTCTTTAACATCCAACTGTACAAAGTCTATCTGAAATGTTACATGAATTACCTCAGCCAAGTAGGAGAGCTTGCCATTTTAAGCTTAGTGATTCAACCAATTGTGCAAAATCAGTCATTCCATTCCAACTTTTAAATATGCAGACTTCTGCACGTTACAATTTACAACTTTTTCTGCTGCAATGTATATTAAAACTGATCTCCCAGTGATTTTAAGAATACTGGATCAGATTCTGTCACTTTCATACTTTTCTGTGATAAAAAAAAATTTGTGAAGGACATGCAGAACTGATAAATATATGATAATGACTTGGACAAACTAAGCTACCTCTGTAGTAGTACTCTTCAAACAATCAGCCATATAAAGGAATGACTCATCTATCAGACAGTTTGTACTTAAGCCACCACACTGTTAAAAGGGCAAGGATGCTCTAACTCAGCCTTTCATGAATTACCAGAAATGTGAAATATCACGGGCAAATTCAACTGGGCACGGTCAAATCTAATAGGTACACAGTTGTAGAAAGCCTAAAGTTTTTAAACTTGGGGTTTTTTTTATCTGTATACTTTCTTGAAAAGTAGAATCAATAGTTTGTTTTTTTTTTTAATTCACAGCTCAATAGCAAAAAGGATTAACTGGTCTATTTTTATCTTAGAGACAGAAGATAGCACTGGTATTGTATTTAACTCTTAAAAGGATTTTACAATTAAATATTAAAAGGTAAATTTGACAGTGCCCTTTATTTACTGTGTCCTCACAAGGCTGAGACGAAGTAATGTTGAAAATGGTTAATGCATTACTCAGACCTTAAAAAAAACCAAAACGTATGTGCATCCATAAATAAAACTACAGGAATTAATTCACACATGAACAAAACTTAACAAGTCACCATGCTCTTCCTGAACTGGCTAATGTTAAGATGTTTCACTCTACACAGACATATCATGCTCTATCACTTAAAATATTAGATAAAGCTCTTATAAGTAAACAAAACTCCCACACAAATACAAGTTGTAAATACCATGCACAAGCTCACACGGCAGACGTAGCCTGTAATATTGAAGCATCCACTCCAGTTGCCACACTACAATGATCAGTCTTTCAGACAAATTTAGGAGTAACTCTCCGCATTAAGTGGTTTGCTTGTCTGCTGTGACCTTTTGGGACATTGAGTATCTTAATTTCTATGATTATATAATAAAGTCAAGTAGATGTAGTCACGCCAATATTTTGTCTGTTTTTTCTGGTCTTTAGTGGACTTCAGTGATAAAGATTAGACTACTGTCCAAACCACAGGCTGTTTGTTGCCTACGAGTTGAAACTTTGGGAGTTGAATAAGTAGTAACATGAAAATAAAAGCTCTATGTTTGACAGATGCAAGGTACATATAGGAATGGGATATACAAGCACAATACACACCATCTGCGTTTTCATGCTTGAGAAATGTCTGCATGCGTTATTTTTTCACTCAGATTCAATCCTTCTCATATGAAATAACCACAGGTAGTTAAGACTAGATAAATCAAATGTCAATTCTTTAAGTCAATACTGTAAACAGTGAAATTATTGTTGAAGAGTGAACTCTTTCCAGGAAACCTAGGAACATGTGTTATATGTATATGATGATATTTCGTGGCCCTTTTCAAGTCCATGCATGAAAAAAACAAAACAAAACACGTTTTAGGAATCAGCTGCCAAACGCAAACATCACAATACACAAGAAAAAGAAAAGAGCATGAGAAAAATGCATAAAAACGAAAAGACCTCTTTTGTCACTTGGAATGTTAATTTTTTTTTTTTTAACTGCTCGGTGATGTTATGGAAGAAAACTGAAGTCCTGTGCAAAAGACACGTCACAACATGGTGTATAAGCATGCTGAGAAACAGCAAATGGGATAAACTGAAATGACATCTTTATCTAAGGTGACAACTGCACATAAAACTCATCAGTATAATCTCACCGCACTCTGAGAACACCGCTCTTTGGTTTTACTTAGACTGCAGCATTTTTGGCTGAAACAAGAGAGACACCACGTTCCCCGAGCCTGGCTGCACAGGTACTGAACTCTCCCAACTGCTACCGAGTCCCCCAAGAGCTTCTGAAGCTCAGCACTCAGCAGGACACACGCAGCAGATGAACACAGATGAAAACAGGCTCAAGATACACCAGGTATAACAAATGCAGGAATGAGATTTTCCTTGATAAATTCCTGGAATGGCCCTATTTTGCTGTGGAATAGTGGATGAAATGTGGGGTATGGAGAAGCAAGATGGCATTGATTCTTTCTGAATACCTTATTTCCATCAGGGTTGTGGATTACTGTAGTTTGGGGCTCCTGAGCGAGAACAAAATAAAGAGAAAAAGAGTTCCCGTTGGTAAATACATTCTCATTAGTACGAGGGAGTGCAAGAAGAGCCAGCTCACAAATGCTGAACACTGACAAGAGCTAAAACAAATGTTAACTGTTGCCAGCAGGTGAAACTGGATGTCTCTAACACAGATGTCCTCAACAGCAAGACAGCAAAAAAGACCATCTCACCTAACACAGCAGCATGCAGAGACCTTATTCATGACCGATGTATACAGGGCTTTGAAGCTCTGGAGACCTGCAGAGGCTCTCTTTCACACAGGGCATACTAAATGCTTTGCGCGTTTACCTGTCCAAGCCAGGCCAGAAAAAAAGGCCAGAAATCACCTCTTTTCTTTAAGTGTGTTTGCTTGTATTAGTATTTAGTGATCAAATAAAAATACAGACGAATCAATAAGGATTAACTACCTCTGAACACTACCATGTTTTGGAAGACATAGATTACTACCAATTGCTGCCCTGGCAGAGCAGCATAATAGAAGCTGAGAGAGATCTTTGCATCATTTTGAAGTGTAATTTCCCCAAATCCTTTTTCCCTTAAAAAAAGATTAAATAATCTTTGAAACGGCAGTTAGTCAGCATACATGTTAAAGCATGGACTATTGCACATGGCTATGTCTGGGAACGGACTCCCATATACTCATGCGTGAAACCTGTTAACCGGTCCTTAGAAATTACTTCGCAATGGATGCTTCAGTGCCAGTAGCACAAAAAAAGATCAAGAGAAAAATCTCTCCCGATGTGTGTGAATTCTCCACATTTTCAGAGCTATATATGCAGGCATAATGGAAACAATGCCTCACAAACTTAAGTACTCACACACTGGCCTTTATATTTGTGAGCCCTGTGATAAACGTATGTCTAAGAAACTGGAGCTACTAATAAAAGCAAGACTGCAATAGAAACATCCATGAACAGTACTCTGATCAGTAATATGTTCCTAACACAGCTACTAATGAGTACTGTCTCCTGCAGATATAAATCTAAGAAAAACAAGTAAAAATGTTTAGCGCTAGATGCCTCTTGATCCCAGTGAAGACTTGCAAAGTCCTGCTGAGTTTTAGGAAATATGGAATGAAAATCTGAATAAGGTCTATTTTATGGTTGCCTGGCAATAATCCTGTTAGCTCTCCTTGACATCAATACTTATATAATGACAAAGCAGAGAAAATAATAGTGTGGTGGTCTGTTTTTTTTATTTTGTGCAAAAGGTTAGCATTAAAAAGACGGAAACAGTCATCAGGCAAAGAGCTAAGAGCAACATCAAGCGCATTCTACTCACTTTCTGGCACAGCATGCAAAAAATTCCACTACAGTTACAAATGCTGTGACTCTATCGCATCCAGCTTCCATGTAACACTTTCTATTAATAAACACGCTCTAATGGACTTCCTCACAAAAATAAAGGAAAGCATAATTCAAACAAAAAGTTTTTCCAAAACCTGTTTTTAGAAAGCAAACAGAGTAAATGCATGAAAAAGCAAAAAAGAAGGAAGAACAAACAGAAGACAGTCAAAAACTTCAAGATAGCATGAGAAGGAAGATTCCAGGTATACCAGCGCCGGGGTAGGAATATTTTCCTTGGGGCTGGTTACCACGTTCGTTTTGTTGTTTATCTGTAGGTATGCAGAAAATAGAAACAGACAGGCCTTAGAACTCGCAGTAGGCATCGTATCTATATCTCTCTGTATAGAACATCCATATACAGATACAGATATCTATATATAGATATAGATATGGAAATAAAGAATCACAGAAAGATGAACTTATGAACTTGAAAGAACACTAGCAATAGATCCAATGGCTAGCTGCAACTCCTCCAAACACGCTAGCTACGGGTTTTCAGATGCACTATACAAAGGTCTACATAAGGTACAGATGACTTCAGCTGTGACACTTAAAAGAACAGAGAGTCTTTAAGTAACAGCTAGTGACATATATGAAGAATAAAGAAATAATAATATGGGTTTGAAGAAAGTCCTAAATAGCCATTGTCATTTCTTGACATGCAACAGTATTAAATAATTGCACCCAGTTGTTCTTTATTGCTAATTACCTATCACAACCGTAATAATATTGTATTATTCATAGCTCTCCAGAAATCTATAGAGTTGTTCTGCTGGCTTCTGGGAACAATTTTGAATGAGCATGACTGATTCCAGATCTGATTAAATATAACTGATGCTAGAAAGAGACTAGTGCCTCTTTTGCTTTTTTTGTTTGAATTTAGACAAAAATATACTCCAGCTGTGATTTTCTGCAGTCTCCAGCATCCTGCAGTAACTGTGTATCAGCCTTTCAATTTTGATACCATTAACCTGAAAATGTAAGGTTTCACACTATAGCAGCGGTAGCCTTACTCCACAAACCAGTACCTAT